GGATGAAACCACAGAGGAAAAAGGGCAAGGTCTCCATCACTGAGAGTGTTCACAACGAAGTCTGGAATGCAGGTCACTTATTAATGATGTTAGAGAATATAAAAACTGGCCTGAAATGGGATAAGTACAGTGGATTTTCAAACTTTTGGTTTTATTTTTCAGCAGTGGAACCTTCCTGCAGACAGAAACTTACACAGAGGCATAATGCTATAAAAGACAGTTCTGCTTCTGCTATGGTTCTGTGAGGTCCTACCAGACCCAACCATCCCTTAGAATAAAAGTACAAACCTCTTCCTCCCCAAAATCAATGACCTAAAAGCATTTAGGTTCATAGGGTGGTGTTGGGGAGGGGAGGAATGAATCTTACTGAAAGGATGATACTGGGTGGGTTTCTTGTTTTCATTGGCTTTTAGCTTGAGAGAAGGTCAAAGTTAGTGACATAAAAATGGCTAAGACTCAGATAGGAGTCCTTCTGGCCTGAAGAACCAAAGGACAGAGTTCAGGGCATCCACAGAAACTGAAAAGTGAGAAGAGAATCCCCAAGAGGGGCGGCCCTAAATTCCAATGTGATTTCTGCCTCAGGCTCTGGGTGGCTCTTGAATGAACCATGCGTGTGTAAGAAAGATGCAAAACAGACTGCTAAAGACAAGAGAACGAAAGTGCTATTAGAGCTTTTTGTGCACAAGAGTCTGCAGTTTTGAGTACAACCAAATTAATTGTCTGCAAAAGCAAAAACACCAAAATTCTTTGGGAGAATAAAACAAAATGCAGAGTCTTTTCAGTATAAGACAATGTCCAGCAGACAGTTTAAAATCATTGATATAAAAAAATGAGAAAGTGTGACCCAGTCTTAAGAAAAAAAGATAATCAGTGCAAACCAATCCAAAGAAGCCCAGATGCTGAAACTGGCAGATAAGAATTTTAAAGGATGTATTGCAACTATGTTCAATGAAGAAAAAATTTCACTGAAATAAATAAAAAAGTAGAAAATATCAGGAAACTAATTCTAGAACCAGAATATAAAATACAATAAATTGGCATCTACTTCAAAAATAGAGTAACACTAGAGTGGTACCAACTGAGAGATAGCAGCAGAATAGGGTCTGGACATGAGAAGCTTCGGTCAAACTATCTCAGCAAGGTCATGAGTGGCTCCCTGAGGGTGAAGGGATGGCCTGGCAGAAGATCTGCCACAGGGAAAGGACAAATGTCTCTAGTGATGAGCCTCTGAGTACACATATGTCTAGATTATTCCTCAAGGCTAAGAAACTGGTCCTATTAATCTCAATCTCCAGTACCCCGTACATGGTAAGTGCTCATTAAATTAGCTTTTAATCAAGATTTGCATTCTCATATTGGCTCTTTCAGGAGTTACTTAACCCTTCTGAACTCTGTCTCAGAACCACTAAATGATTCTAATACCTGTCTGGCTACAAATCTGAAACAGGACATGCATTCACTTTATAAACTATAAAAATTAATCAATGTAAATAATTTTTATCTTGCCCCACTCACTTCAATGTAGCTTGCTTTTAGATTCAATTATTTTAAATTACAATGGAATCTAGGTTGTTTAGCTTTTCAGTGTGCTAAGAGACATGAATTGGTTGTACAGTGTATGGTCCCAGCATTCAGAACCATAAATCAAATTTCAAATTCACAGCCTTTTCTTCCCTCTGTGATGCATCTAACATATTCTGTGTGCATCTTGACCCAGTCACATGGAGGTCAGACACGGGTACTGACAGCCCCCAGGGAATGGGATTCTACCCTTAAGGCCATAACGAAAGTGTGGGAGCTAAGAGAAAAGAATAAACGAGTTCTGGCATTTTAGTACCAAGAAGATATGTGTCCTTAAAAAATCTCAATCCAGAGGACCCTTAAAATAACACAGTTCTCCTCTGCAGTTTTGGGGATCTGGCCAGATTAAGGACTTCTGTTATGCGTGCAGGGTGAAAAAGTGCATGTGCGTGCATACACACACACACACACAAATCAAGACATGACCTAGAGCCTGGCCAGGGTGGCTCAGCGGTTGAGCATTGACCTATGACCCAGGAGACTGCAATTCAATTCCTGTTCAGGGCACATGCCCAGGTTGCAGGCTCGATCCCCAGTAGGAGGCATGCAGGAGGCAGTCAATCAATGATTCTCTCACCCTTCATGTTTCTATTTCTCTCCCTTCCTCTCTCTGGAATCAATAAAGATATATTAAAAAAAAAAAAAAGTCACAACCTAGAGGAGAAATAAATGTGAAAACTACTGAATACTCATAATTAAGCTTCTTAGATACTATCCCTTGGTCTGAAAATATAACTGTCATTAGGCTTTACTCTATACTTTGGCAATAAGTGTTTGTTTTCCAAAATTTCTTCCCTGGCTAGGCCATCTTGGGCACTATGGTGTTTATGACAAAATCATTAATACCCACTGAAACATGAAATTACTGGGCTGGAGCTCAAGTCAGAATGCATAATCTGTCGATTAAATATTATTGCCTAAGGTGTCACCTTTTCTTGACACTGTAAGTTTGATATTCTGAAGGCTTTTATTTTTTGTGTGTGTGTGGAATTAAAAGAATGTCAGCAAAATTTTTTGCTTGTTTAAGTATGTACCAGCATCAAAAAAAGAACAGGTGGCGCTCCCTCCCTGAGCCAGCCCATGCCTTTGCCCTCCCCCTCTCCTTCCCCCCAGGGCGTTACCTTTGCCTTTCTCTCTCCTAAACTCCAAAGGCCCTTCTTTTGCCGCTGTAATTTGTTTTCTAAGCTCTCACTCAGCTGGCTCACTTTCCCTACCTCCATGACTTTCTAAATAAACTTTCTCTTTAAAAAAATAAAAGAACAAAACCAATTCCAGGTGACTAGATAAATCCAATTAGCTCAAGGCCCTTAGGCTAAAATTCAAGTTGGAGTATCTCGCTTTCCCTCCAGGCCTAGCACAGCTTATAGGTCAAGAAGAACGTGCCTGTCAGTGCACCAAAAGCTCTTGTAATTCTTCTGTGCCTTTGTTGTTAAGCTATGGCTTCACACACAAAAAAGCAGCTCAGGTCCTAAAATCAATTCTCATACCTCTTGCTAAACTGCATTTAATTTAGGTTTCTCTAAATGACTCCAGAGTAGTTTTGTTATTGAATATAGCATATTGCTAAATAGCTTAAAGATGGACTCTCTAATTCTGGAAATTTGAAAAAATTAGCAAACCAGGCAATGCTTTTTCTGAGTTTGACGAGATCTGGCCTGGAAGAAGAGAGGTGACCAGATGCTCTTTCAGGGTCCCATGGATCTCAGGGTACCGTGCCAGCCTCGGTTCTGACTCAGAGCTCTGCCAGGTAGGCTTTCTGGGAATTAACAATGCCAAAGTTCCAGGACTCTGCCCACGTTCTCACAGAGCAGGACAGCTGTACCCTGAGCTTCTGCACAAGAGAACCAACGCTATCTGCTGAAGAGAACAGAACAGGGCAATGAAAAGAGTAACAGAAACATACTAGTTCCCTCGGGGAAAACAGCAGCGTTCCTGGAATGCCCCACTGCCTCCTGCAAACATAACCACTGTCCAATGAAAAGGACCAGTGTTTCTTAAAGCAACGCTGGTTCCAGATCTGGAGTAGGAAATATACAAGAGGAGCCTG